ATGCAACTCCGATCGGCCCAGTTCTCAAACAATTACCGAATACTAGTACATGCCGCAACCTTGTAGAGTAGAGTTACATCCATAATCGAAGACTATCATTCATCATAAACCAATCTGCATTGCAGCTTGCATGAGGAGTTGAGATTAAGACCTCAATTTGTCAGCCAATAGAGGGTCTGAAGTGCTGATATGCAAGCGTAGGCTCCTCAATACCACTTGCGGGTGACGATTAGGCTTCCTGCAGTAGTCGACAGTACTAGCTCTTCGGAGAAAAGTTGTTGCGTGACCGATGTGGAATTCTATCATAAGTCATTGACTGTTACACAGAGTACAAATGCAACCTAGCCAATCACCACAATTTGCCACAGCAACCTTGCATGTCCAGCCAACCATAAAAGTGGGGGCGGTAAGTTGATGTCGACGGAGGCAAACTGGATGGAACGCCTGCTGTTGGACACTTGTTAAACAATGTAAAAGTAGTGAAAGTCCTAGCCTAGTGTGGGAGGGGACAGGAAATCAACTTTTTGGCATCGGCAATTGCCGCAACTCGCATGGTTGAATACAAGTATTTTACATGTTTGTACTGTAATTCAAGGTGCAGATAGGACGACTGTGGGTCGGTTGGTTTCGTTCAATCGCAAAAGTGCGCCTTGTCTTGCATTTCGATCAGCGCGTGGCAAGAGGGTGTGTTGTTCTGGTTTGGCCAGTCTGGCAAGCTTGTCAAGCAGACTAGAGTACAGCATGCTGCTTGTTAAAGGCCTAACTGTATGGGTGCGTTACGGTCGCCCGCGTAGTGTCTAAAAATTGGACCAGTCTGGCACGCGTTCCGTTTGTGCGTTAGCTGTAGCATGCAAAAGCAGCGACATAGCTCATCTCTCCCCTTATGACTTGTGATTGCCGCAACACGTGACTAGGAACTCATGTGTCAGATGTGAGGTCATTAGAAGTTCCAAAGAACCTCAATCTGGCAAAAGCAGCAAGGCCACGTTTCCTCCTGTTCAGTTCTGGGAACGACAACATGGTTGATCCTTCCCCAGAGCGAAAGCTCTTCCGTCGAAACATTCGGACCAGCCTATACATTGTACTCAGTAGGTGCAAAGCGAACCAGGCTGCGCTGCGGTGCTTGCATATGCGTGTCGTAAATGGACGCAGAAGGCCCAAGCACATGCACGTGCACTTTTGCACAAAGGCGATCGTGTTGAATCAAGATTTGAATTGGCTGGCGAAAAGTAACTATCGCGTACTGGTACTTTTGTGAAAGTTGACGTTTCTGAGTACGGCATGATACGCATGCATGTTGGAGAGGAAGCTGAGACGTACGACATTGGCTAACTGGGCAAGCCTAAAGGCGATCCACTTTGGCCCAGCTGAGTGGTGTTGTTGCATAGCGCCAATGTGTTGCGTGCATGTGCGCTGCCCGCACGAGAAGCTATTGCCACTGTGTCACCGTGTGCTGCTTGGCGCTGAGAGTCCAGGCTCGACTCGCTCATTTGTCCAACGCCGGTCCCGCACGTAGCTTCGCCCCCAGGTTATATTCAAATCCTTTTCCTGTGCCGATGCAACCATGTCGAATTCAAAGGCCGAAAGGACAAAATAAAAACTCATATAAGCTGGCGCACACAGCAGAGGAGCGCGCTCAACTGGATATAAACCCTTTCTAGTTGCTGGTGGTTTTATTGTTAGCTCGATTTACACATTTGTTTTGTTTGTTTATTTTCCGATAGCATTCCTGAGCTCATTGCATGCAAACGGGTTGGAAGTGGAGGATAGTTGGAGGTAACTATAACCAGTTGTTGTTGGTTGGCTTTTAATTCTGATCTGCTGAATACCTTTATAGTAGATACTAGTACTGATATATGGTCAATCATTAGAATTTCGATCGGACGGATATATCTACTGTAACTGAACACGATCAACACATTCTTCATCCAGACTCCAGTGGCAGCCATCGATAGCCATGTCCTCACCATCTCCATCGCCCCCAGCTGCAGCTGCCTCGCCCTCCACAGACGTGCCTATAACCTACACTCAGGCTACCCCAGTCCCCCTCAGTGGCCCAGATGGTATCCACGTTGAGGTAGATGTGAGCTTCACTCCAATCTCAGCCGCATCCTGCACCATCTCCCAGAGTAACCCCGGCCGACACTACTAGGATCGTGTATATGTTGTTGATTTTTTTTTTATCTTTTTCTTCTGTGCGCTAATCTCACCACACCCTATTCGGACCATAGGAAGACGAAGAGGTTCCTACGGGTGGGCATGACTCAAGTATCTCTACGTAAGCGATCGATCCCCTTCCCAACTTACCACCCATTTAACCAGCATCGCTGACATATATCTTGTTCTCCGTCCTACAGCGGCAATTCTACTGCGACCACCTCTCTGTCGTCCTCCATCTTCTCCTTTACATACGCCAATGGTCGCCGATACCACTCGGACCGCTTCAATCGCGCAAACTACTTTCTGCCTAATGATGAGAATGAACAGGAGCGGCTGGACCTGCTTCACCACATTTTCCTGCTGCTGCTCGGAGGCAAACTCTATACGGCCCCGCTGGAAAATCTGAGCAACGGTGTGCAGAAAGTGTTGGACGTCGGCACGGGCACGGGGATTTGGGCCATTGATTTTGCCGAGTAGGTATTGATGGTGTATTTTCTGCGGGGCGAAGGACAGTGCGAGAATATGGATTAGTGGTTGAAAGGGCTGAGACTGACGACAAATGTGGGCGTCCGCGTTAGTGAGAATCCACAGGCAGAGGTGATCGGCACGGACATCTCGCCCATCCAGCCGAACTGGGTGCCGCCAAATTGTAAATTCGAGGTCGAAGATATGGAAGAGACCTGGACGTTCCCAAATAACGAGTTTGATTACATACACATGCGGGGGATGTCAGGGTCGTTTGCGGACTGGCATTGGGTCTTGAAGCAGGCGTTGAGGTGCGTGCTATGCCAGAGTCGTCCCGTTCCCAAGTATACTCATGGTGTCCGCCTTTTCAGTCTATAAGGAGGTATACTTGATGTATAGAGAAGGTTGGGATGGGGAAGAGGAGGACGTGTCGCTAACGCTACATTATGGTAATAGTAAGCTGAAGCCAGGCGCCTACCTAGAGTTCCAAGACTACAGCTGCGAAGTCTATCTTGCTACCGGACAGCTCCTGGACACCGTCGACCCCGCGCACCCAATCACAACTTATTTCCACCACGTCAACTCGGCCGCCGAGAGCATGGGCCGCCCGACAAGGATTGCGCGCTTCATGAAGGGGAAGCTTGAGCGGGCTGGGTTTGTGGACGTGGAGGAGCGGACGGCCGTGTGGCCAGTAGCCCCTTGGCCGAAGGACAAGAGGCTGAAAGAGCTGGGGAGGTGGTCAGGGATTGCATCAGCCGAGTCCCTGTTCCCATTTGCGGTCAGATTACTAACGGAGAAGGGATGGGCAGTTGAGGACGTGAGGAAGCTGTGTGACGAGGTCCAGGTCAGCTTGGCGAAGAATCAGTATTATGCTTTGGGGTAAGTGAAGGGGACATTCAAGCTAGTCTCAGGAGTTGGTGGCGGCAAATCGTTGAATGCTGACCTGATGACGCTCTAGGTGGTTCGTGCACGCTCGCAAACCAGATCCGGATGACAAGAAGAAGGGGCGAGCAAGGTAGTTGTCTGAAGCATTGAAGCAAGGCACTGCACACACTGGAATTAACCTGGTGGATCGTCATGAATATGGAGGTACTTAAAGTTAGTTCTTGTGCAAAACGTGTAGGCTATCAGACACAGCGGGAGGAGGAGATATACAATGAATTCTAGTTACGCCTTGTAAATAGTCTGCCTAATTGCTTGAGCCACCCGTGTCTTGAACTTTATCATGTGCATGAGCGTCGAACGTGAATTCAAAGTGTATTTTCGCCGTCGACTCAGTGTATGTTCGACCAGCTAGCTGGGCCTTGTCAAGCAAATGCATGGCCAAGCAGAACAAGAAGCCTCCAACATCATCTCCGAAAGCAAGAGCATCCCAGAAAGAAAGGCTCCCGCAATCTGGCCGGGCAGTTGTGGTGCATGGAATAGCAGTGACGAAGAAACTTGGGAAAGTAAGAGAGTGGATGGGAAAGGCGAACCCATGGATGGGGAAGATTGTTGCGGCAAGATGGTTGGTGGGAAAAGAAAGGAGAGAGGGAAAGAAGACTAGCTCAATTGTTATCTACCTGGAGGGAGAGGTAGAATCAGATAGTCAAACACCAGCGAAGGTACGGTTATCAGGCAAATGGTACCACTCGTGCTTGTATGACTGGGACAGAATGACAAAGGTGGACAGAAAGGGGAAGGGGAGGGATGTGGAGGAGATGGATATAACTGCATAATTCTCTGGGGGATATTTGAGTATTCGTGCTTGATTGTTCTCTTGGGGGATTGGGCTTTCGCTTTGTGTTTCCTCCACATCACCGAAGTCATAGTATCGTTGTGTGTTTTTACAGGGGACGATTTTGTAGGTAGTTGCACAGGTGCCTGTCTCCGGGCCAGAAGGACCTCGGTCCAGGGACCCTGCCATGGCGAACAGCTGCAAGCGGGGTTATGTGAAAAAAAAAAAATGAAAAAAAAAAAAAAAAAGCACATGCATGGCGGTTATACAACTCGTGGACGTTGTAAATTTTACATCTTGAACGGCTGCCCTTAAGTTGCAGATCCTGCTATGCGTTCTATTTGGTGGATTTTGAGGAAAGGATTCTTTTCCACCTTCGCTGATATTTATTGACATCCAGGGTTTCATGTTGGTTGAAGTCTGTGTTTGTTATATATAGTTTGAGCCAGTTTACAGTAATTTGCAATTTGTGATGGAACTACCAGGGTGGTTGTTCTTGAGCCTAGACTCTTGAGTACTCATTCAGTTTCCATCTCTCTTGGGAACTGAGAACCGGCACTTTGTAGACATCCCTTTAAAAATATTTTGGATTTGATCCAAAATAAGAAAATGCAATACATAAACTGTGGAAATAGCATAAAAAAAGAAACAACCTGTCCGATCAAGACAGGACTCGAACCTGCAATCTTTGGTGCCGAAAACCAACGCGTTACCATTACGCCACTTGACCGTTGAATAGCTTGTGGCTGGTAAAATGATTTAAAGAAGCCACCATCTGTTAGGGGATGGTAGAAACTAACGGTTGTGCGGATGCCGGCAGTGGTTTTGAGTTGCATATTTAGTGGATGTGATGAAGAAGGATGAAAACTTACCGCATCTCAGGAAGCGTTATAGTACCTCTAGCTAGATAAAGATGGGGTTAGAAGACCTGCCCTGATACACATCTGAAATCTGGGAAAGAACATAGGAGGTTCCGAGGGAAGGAGAATTCCCTTGCATGTACTGCAAGTGCTTTCAAAAAGACAAGAGAACTGGCCTTTTGAAACAGAAAAGATCATTGTGTCATGAATCGTACTTACCAAATGAGACCAAAAGAACGCTTTATATTCGTTTCGCCTTATGAAGGCGGAATCAATGCTCACCTTTGTAACAAAAAGCAGTATTCTACAAGTATGAAGTAATTTCCAACTCATCAATTCAACTATTGTTCAACTAATTTACGTGCAAAGCAGGCTAAAGACCGGAGTTTTTATGGAACACTAGTAACGGCTCACGCTCACTCTCCATCACACTTCTTACTCAGGTCCCACCACCTCTCCACCTGTGCCACTCTGTCACTAAAAAGAATCTTATACAAGCTTGCCCCCTGGCTCCCGGCACAAGCCATGTCAGCTCGTCGTCATCCCCATTTGGTCTTTTCCTTCTACCACGACCTCCCACATCACCCTCGCCGCTCTGTCTGGATCCCCAGGTTGCCGCCCATGTATCTCCTTCTCCCGCTCGAGAATCTCCTGTTCATCTACTCATAATCGGCGGTCTTTGTCACAGAAAAATCAATGTTTCCACCGAACTCGGTCCGGAAATAGCCAGGCTCGATCAAGGTGCTCCTCAAGCCGAACTGCTTAATCTCGTTGTATAGGCCGAGGGAAAAGCTGCGCACGGCGGCCTTGGAGGCATTGTAGAGAACTGTGCCGATAGAACCGATCTGAGAGACAACCGAGCCGATGTTAAGGAAGGTGCCAGTGCGGCGGGCGCGCATGCTAGGAAGTAGGGCGCGAGTCAGGCGGAGGAGTCCAAAGACGTTTGTTTGGATTTGGAATTGGCTGATCACGTCAGCGTCGCTGGAGAGGATGGCTACATATTAGCTCGAAGTATGCTGGATGGGAGGTGGAGAGTACGGACATTCATGACTTACCTCCTCTCCTCAATCGTCCCGCAGATCATGTACCCTACATTCAACACGGCATACTCAAGGAATCCGTAGATGCTCAAAACGTCTTGAATCTGCATGTCTACCTCCTCCTGACTCAGGATTTGGTCCATCTTGACAAGCTGTGCACCGAGAGAGGGGAGCTCGGCAAGCCCGAGAGGAAGGAGTGGATGTTGCTGGATGTCACGATGACTTTATGTGTAGTAGTAGTAGCACTTTGGGTGAGTATGAAGCCGGCGAGACTGAGGCCGATGCCGGAGGAGGCACCGGTAACGAGCCAGACTGTGGGACAGGGGGAGGTAGAGAGGCTGTCGGTTGTCATAATGCGGCTTGGTGTTGGGTATATGGAAAGCGTGGTAGTTGAAGAGGATATAGGAATCACAGGAGCTGCTTGGTCAACGATCGCTGCTGATAACGCCTTGAGATGGGTAACTCTTAATGTTGGCCGAAATCTCCGCACGGAACTTGTCTTGACGTCTTTGTTTTTGGAAGGTGTACTTGCATTGCTTGTTGCTATGTTGAAGTCGATACTTGTATAAATATCAATGATCGTGATGATTGTGATCAAGTTTCCAGTGAACCTCCCACCAAACTCCTTCTTATATCCAGATTCCTCAACTATAATGTACTGCCATTAATCAATCCTCTGTGGGTAGTTTATAGCATGCTGATTCAACCTCTTTCCAATGTGTAATCCTCACATTCAGTTCTAAAAGTGGATATCAAAAGTTCGATCTTATAAGCTCATCATGGTTCGGTTACTGAGCGAGAATTAGGCGATGGTAACATTCGATACTACAGACGTGGATCACCTAAGTACTTAAGTAAGTGCTTGCCTCCCCACCCAGCTCTTGGATGGTACCGAGGATGGATGTGTCTGGAACTTGAACGTACTTGTACTTAACCTGTATTTAGAAACCTCTGACTCCAAGCCGACATCTTAAAGTGCCATGAGAAGTAAGTGAGAGGATAACGGTTCTGCACCATACAGCATTGCGCAAGCCTGGCATGAATGCCCTGCCTTGGCGAGCAGCTGCGCGCGGGGTCACGTGACACACAAAAAAAAAAAAAAAAAAAAGCCTAGCATGAAATCGAGATAGACCGGTTGACGCAACGATGTCGTGAGTAAGGCCGGGATTAGTTATATCCACTAGAAAAAAAGTTCGGTCAATAACCAAAGTATAAATAGTGCTACAATACATCCTTTAGTTTCATGTGAGGATTCCAGTAGTAGAAGGAACATTGAATAAAAAATTCTTAACCGTGTCAATTGAAACATAAACGAGTTGTTACATCCAACCTGCTGCGTCCTTGACTCTGGACGTTGCTAGTTTGCGAATTTTTTAATTTTGTTTTTTTTAATAATATTATTACTCGTATTGCTAAGTACTTAGCCTTTTAATAACTTTAGCTACGTATTTGATTTTGTTTGTGATTAGCAAAATAAAATCTCCATCAGGGCGGCACGCGAGTAATGATAAAATCAACGATTTGGCATCACCAGCTTACTTCTTTCTATTAACCAAAAACCACCATTTTGTATATTTGGTATATATTATGCCAGTGTGGGCACACAAGTAGTTACAGCTTCACTGTATAAGAAGTAGGGGAGCGCTCCCGCCTTCAATAGTCTACCAGCCTGATTGTCCATCAATTGCAAGACCTCTATTCACCGGAATATCCACTCCTACATGTAGTGTTGTGCACATGCAGCTACACAGAGCTCCGGATTCATCCACGCTCAGGATCTGGGGTGGGAAGCGAGGTCAGCTGAAGGAAAGGAGGTGCACTACTCGAGTGATATGGAGAGTGGAAATGTCGCTCGGAGGAAGCTCTTCTTGGTCTCTAAAGTCAATGCTGCATTGCCAACTCGTCGCCAGCAATCCGCACACTTGACAGACAACTTCGTACACACCCTCCTCTGCACTTTTTTTTTTTTAAAATATCATTACTCGCGTGCCGCCCTACCTCCTCTGCCTGCCATCTTCCAATGCGTCTCCTCTATTCAATCTCGGCAGGCCTGTCATTATGTTATTTCGTTGTGTCGTCATGTTCCGAAGTTTCCCAACGTTGCAACTCCATCACAATTCAAACCCAAAACTATCCTGAGTACTCCACCATCTGCTCCTATCACGTGCAGCATGTCACCCATTCTGGTATATACGCCAATGAGCAAGATATTTCAGTCTTCATAGCAGGTCTGGTAACGTAAGCATCAATAACAGTCACGTTAGCTCTTCCACACACACACACTCATAATCTTCATTTATATCCAATCCTTCCATCTCCTGTTATGCCTCCACCGTCCCTCTCTGCCCAATTTTCACAACGCCCATAACCCACATCCACGCACACCAACCCGAAGACATCCACTATGAGGTTCACCATGTTGAGCTCGCATTCTCCGGTTCAAACATTCTTCTGCTCTCTCTCCAATTCCATGTGCGCCCTGGGAGGCATCCACGTAGTCATGAATGGCCTGCACAAAGACAGCATAGAGCCCATGACGTGGATCATCTCCCTCGTATTTATATAATACATATATATAGGCTATAGCCCCTAAGCATTGAATCGTACCCGGGGCCACACCCTACATTAGGAAGGCGTCGTGAACGACTCTTCGCCATCTCCCTGCATTCTCCAGCATCAGGGTCTGCTTCACTTCAGAAGGAATTGTCGCTTGCCTCGAGCATGAACGGGATCCAATGGAGGCTATCAATAGGCCACTGGGTGCCTCTCGTCCCTCTGCCATTCTCCGCCTATCGCTGTCCCCGTATTGCATTAGGCCTCCTACTGGGCCAGCGTACTAGCTTGTAGCCTAGCAGCTTTTAGTGAGCGCTTTTTTGGTCTGCCTGTAGTATTGCTCGCGGGAAAGAGGATGTGAAGAATTGAGAGGCAATTTATGGTAAGTAAGAGAAGGTTGATAAGGCTATCTATAGTCACATTTGTATGAAGAGAATGATGCTAACGAATGGGTGTAGACTCCCTTGACTCATTGGAAATGCGATGAGGACAGGGATAACGAAGATGATGACGATGAGGCTGGAGATAGAAATGGCCAGGGGGATGTCAGTATCCTGTGCTCTAAGGCAATAGCAGTGATGACCAGAAAAGCTGGGGCTGAAATCGCGCCACCCGTTGGACCTATGTGGCCCTCTGTCCCAACCGCGTCGGGGAAAGACGACATCCAGAACACCGTCCCTCACGTCCCCTTTCTTCCACATATCCTCTTGCTTCTGTTTTCCTTTCAAAGACATTATATGCGCGTTAGATTGATGTGAACCCCCCACGCCCCTTCTATGTCATCTCCCCCTCCTCCTCCTCTTGTACACTCACTTTATGTTCCCCTGACCCTCCTTCCTTTCCATCGGTATTAATTAATTCCCCGTTACCATAATATCCCGTTAGAACTCTGAAAAGAAACAACGTAACCCCATTTCCTGAACGAACCAACATCGTTGAACTTCCGACGTTTGGCATTCAAGGAGAACAAATGAAGGGGGAAGATGTATGGATATGCACAGAATGGGAATGGATTTCCAAATCCATGAGAATATAGATGATAAGGAGTTCCTTCATTTGCACCTCCCTTTGATTGAGTACTTCAATGATCGAACTTCATCTGATATAGAAAAAGCAGAGGTTTTAACAGCAATAAAAAAGTGAAGGAAAAATGGGAGAATACGGATAAGAATCTAGGAAAAGAACTGATAAAGGAGAAAAACATCCACGAGAAGTAAGAAAGATGGAAAACATCCACGAGAAGTAAGAAAGATGGAATAAGTAAAGGCAGGGAGATT